ACTCCCTCGCTTTTAAACGTGATGGCGAACGAGAATTGAACGCTATTTGTGGGGGAATACAAGTCTCGCGGCTCCTTCGTTCTTGGCGAGATCTCGGCAGTCCTTTGCGCTTATAAGTTGTATTGGCTACATTTGTCGAGTTTGGAAGATATTTCTTTATTCGTACAAAAAAAAGTTGATTAAAACAAAAACGTTGTTCATTTTTGCATTCATGAAGATTTATTTTATGTTCATCAACCCTAAATTACATGACATTACCCCATTGGTCTAGTGACATCACTTTTTGAACTGGTAATATACGGTTAAAATAGAGGATAAGATAGTTTGTTGTGCGCGCTGTCAACGCACCATGGTCGGCGCCGTACACTTAGGAAGCGCGCGAAAATAGAAAGCGTTTTCACCGAGATGAGACAGGGCGGCAAATAACAAAACACGGGGACAGTGTTGATAACACACATGTTACATTAGTCACCAGACCAACGTCGCACATAAAACTGACCCGCCATCTAATCCTCTGTGCACAACATGTTTATCGGTGAAGCACTTTTTCGAGTGACATAAAGACAAATATATCACCTAACATCTTTGAACACTGTAATCACAAACACTGACACAAATTATCACCATACACAACTATAAATGTGAACGTCGGGAAGCTGTATCTTTTAGTTTATAAAATAATTGTAAATACAGATCTCCAGCTTCCATTCAAATATCCAATAGCGATTGCCTTTATTAAAAGGAGGCCAACATTGTCAACGCCCATGATGCGCGCGCATGATTCTAGTGGCATACTAGCAACTTCGATCGTCCACTTATTCATAATGAAGCGCTTGCTGATTGGATGACCTAACTCAGCAGTGTGATATTTAAAGTACAATACTTCGACTCAGAGTGTGAAAGCCGCATTCGGGAAAAACACACAACAGAACAAAAAACTGAAATATACTAAATTGCGAATCGTGAAATGGGTCGGTCTAAAGACTAGTAAAACTACATGCGTACTACTTTGCATAATCCAAGCTTTAATGAATGACGTCATCGTTCGTTATCAGCACAGACTGTCACAAAACTTCATAGCGTGAAAGAAAACGGCCAAAAAACAAAGTTTGTCACAGATATAAATGTCGGTTCATGATTTTTCTCGAAAACAACTTTCAAAGCATTTCATTTACAATTAGCCCATGTAAATTTTGCTGCTAAAACGGGAGTTAACGTTGATTGAAGTTTGAAATCATAAAAGTGCCGATTTCTCGGTGTTCGGTTTCTGGCAATTACCGTTGACCTAATTTTAAATGGCGTTTCAGTGAATAGCTCTACGATGTCGCCTTTAGCTTTTCTACTCTTGGATATGTGGCTTCATATCCGTATTTACATATTTGCAAATTCTATTGCGTTTTT